TACTACTTACTACTACTACTACTACTACTACTACTACTACTACTGCAGTACTACTACTACTACTACTACTACTGCTATTACTACTACTACTACTATTACTACTGTTACTGCTACTGTTGCTACTACTACTACTACTACTGCTACTACTACTACTACTACTACTACTACTACTACTACTACTACTACTATTACTACTACTGCTATTACTACTAGTACTACTATTACTACTATTACTGCTACTGTTGCTACTACTACTACTACTACTACTACTACTACTACTACTACTACTACTACTACTACTACTGCTATTACTACTACTACTACTACTACTGCTAATACTACTACTACTACTACTATACTACTGCAACTGCTGCGTCTTTTACTACTGCGACTACTACCACTATTACTACTACTACTATTGATGCCACTACTACTACTAGGAGTCTGTGACACGTGTACTGTCACGGGCAAGCTGCTACTTGCAGTACTACTACTACTACTACTACTACTACTGCTACTACTACTACTACTACTGCTGCTAATACTACTTCTACTGCAACTGCTGCAACTACTACTACTACTACTACTACTGCTGTTGCTACTACTACTACTACTGCTAACACTACTACTACTGCAACTGCTGCGTCTTTTACTACTACTACTACCACTACTACTACTACTACTACTACTACTACCACTACTACTACTGCTGCTGCTACTACTGTGATGACGACTACTACTACTACTACTATTGATGTCACTACTACTAGTAGGAGTCTGTGACACGTGTACAGGCATGAGCAAGCTGCTAAGTACAGTACTACTACTGCTGCGATGACTGCTACTACTACTACTACTACTACTACTACTACTACTTCTTACTACAACTACTACTTCTACTACTACTTCTACTACTACTGCTGGACTAAACCTAGAATAAACCTCTAAACCAGGCTTAAAGCTGCACTGCATAACTTTGTGGTTGAGGGTCCATCACCTGCTTGTTTCCATGGATACGTCACTGCTCTGCCTGAAATGTTCCACAGTGTGACATTAAACAGCTCGACTTTACATTTATTCAATTACAGGAGGTTTTATAGCTCAAAAATATCTAGAAAAACAGACAAACATTATGACTGTGAATGGGCTCGCCTCTCCACAGATCTGACCTGTCACTTGCTCCGGTTCGGTCTCCGTGAAGCCAGAAAGGTTTAATGCCACACTGCGAAACATTCCGGACAAAGCAACAACATCTCCATGGAGAAAAGTTACACAATGCGCTATTTATCAAACCGGGTCTAAACCGGATCTTAAACCTGGTCCAGATCGGGTCCAGAGGTCAGCGGGTTCAGGTCTGGTTTGGATTAATGATGATCCCGAAAACAGATGTGAGGGATTGAGACCTGGTTAGGGCCGGGGCGGGGGCTGGGTAACCGCAGAAACGCACTGATGTCATTCTGGAACATTTACTCCCAACATCTGAGCGCAGAGAGGCGACCTGCACGCCAGAACATCTCCATTCACCCGTCGGCACGAGAAAAAGTCATGTTTTCGCAGCAGGAATGTCAAAAGTATCGGAAATGAAACACTAAAACTAATATCGAAACTAGATGTTGAAAATCTAAATCCTAAATCTGAATAAATCTGAATTTTTATTATTATCAAGTATTAGAATCGGTGTTGAAAATTTTGTATTTACAGGTTTTATATCTTCAAAATTCACAGGACTTGAACAAAATAAACCACAGTGAAGCAGTCTTAGTCTAGACCTAGATTAATCCTGGTTTAGATCTGATTTAGTCCAGATTTAGTCTTAGTTTTGTTCTAAATTAGCCAAGGTTTAATTTATTTATATTTATATTGCGTATTATTTATTTTGGTTCTAGTCAGTGTTAATTTATCCTAGTTTAGTTCTAGTTGGTTCTGATTCATTTTTAGTCCTGGTTTGGTTTTGGTTTGAGATTAGTTTAGTCCTGATCTAGGCTTAGTTCTGGGTTTAGTCCTAGTTTGGCAAGATCAAAAACCAAGACCAAAACTGTCCTGGATTACTATAGTATTTCTTTTCCATGATTTTGACTCTCTTTAACAAACCTGTGGCTATACCGGCTTGTCCAAGGCTGATCTCATCAGATCTCAGAAGCTCAGCAGGACCGGGCCTGGTTAGTGCTTGAATGGGAGACACTGGGAAAATCAGGTGCCACAGGAGGCGCCAGTCATAAAAAAAAAACAGTTGTTGTGTCCTTAGGCAAGGCACTTCACCCTCATTGCCTAGTATGAAAGTGGTGTGTGTGTGTGAGTGATGGTGGTGGTCGGAGGGACCGATGGAGCAGATTGGCAGCGTCGCTTCAGTCAGTCTGCCCCAGGGCAGCTGTGGCTACAGTAGTAGTTTACCACCTCCAGGTGTGGAGTGAATGAATAATGCTCTGTAAAGCAACTTTGAGTGTCCAAAAAAGTGCTGTATAAAACTGATGCATTATTATTATTAAACTTAACTAGAATTTAGAATTGTTAGAATTTTTAGTTGTGGTTTTAGTCCAGGTTTGGTTCCACTCTGGCAGTGAGGTAGTTCTGGTTTATACGTAATTGAGACAAAATAGTCCAAGATTACTAAGATTACTATAGTTTTGGTTTTCCATGACTAACCCCGAATTCACACCAGGAGCTGCAGCTGCGCTTAACGTAGGCGGAGCTGCGCGTACGCGTAAATTTCAAAGTTTCAATTCACACCAGAACGTCAGAGACGCTCCTGCTACGCAGCCTGCACATCTTCTCACTGTTTTCAGACATCACATTTTGTACTTGCTTTTTATCATTTATTTTATGTTAAAGTGTATTAAGTTAGAATGTGTATTAAGTGTATTATGAATTAAGTACAACTGCAACGCATTTGCGTTTAATGAGGTTTAAATCTATTAGCACGCACATTAAACACCTCAGTTTTTTTTTCCCTTAATAAGGTAAAATCACGTATAATTAACATACATTATGAGCGTGATTAAAATCTTATGTCCGTTCAGGTAATAAGACCTATACTTTTATATGTTGATACAGATGGATAAGGGAAAATAGTCGCTGAAACGTTCAGCGACTTTTAGTTTTAACGTTCTGGAATTTTAAGGGCGGGTCAGGACTAATTCAGGTGTAAACCAGGTCTAAACCACGTCTAAACCATGACTAAACCCGGACTAAACCAGGTCTAATCCTGGAGAGAGAGAGAGAGAGATAGCGAACCCTGAGCCCCGCGGAGCAGGTGTCCGAAAAGCGCGACGGCTGCACGTACCTCTTCACCAAGCTCTGCACCGGTTCTTTCGCCCGCGGACACTCGGGGCTAAACGGAAGGACCTCCGAGCACATTCAGACATGAGTCTTGGTTCTGGTTTAGTCCTGGGTTAGTCCTGGGTTAGTCCTGAGTCCTTATAGAATTGGTGTCTGACATCGTAAATCACGTGCGCGTTGTTTACGTCGCTGTCTTGAGTATGGTTAAATTATTTTGAAAGGGCATCGGAAGTTTATTTTGACACCGCGTGTTTATTTCCTGTCTTTCCCCTGCTGAAAACCTTGGAGACGCGCCGTTGACGCTGCAAAATTAGAAGCTCAACCTGTCTCGAGCAGCGCGGCAGCGTCAGACGCTCGTTGGACGCGCGTATGACACTGTCGGTGTGAACTGTCAGACCGGTTAAAATGGAGTTCTAAAGCAGCGCGTCTGCTGCTCGTGTGCTGTGCTGCTGCGCTTACGCGCCGTTGCGCTTTGGTGTGAATTGGGGGTCACACTCATAAAATAACTTGAATCTACAACTGTTTTATTTAGTTCTGTTTTTGTCCAGATTAACATTTGTCCAGTCTTAACATTGTTCTAAATGAGTCCGGGTTTAATTTATGTATTTTTATATTATTCATAATGTATTTTAGTTCTAGTCAGTTTTATTTTATCGTATCATATCGTATTTTATCGTATTCGTTTATTGTATTTAGTTCTAGTTGGTTGGTTGTTACATTTTTAGTCCTGGTTTAGATCTAATTTAAGGTCTTTTAACACTTATCCTGGTTTGGTCTTGGTTTGAGATTAGAGTAGAGATTAGTTTTGTTTTAGTTTTGTTCTAGATTAGCCTCAGTTTAATTTATCCCACTTTAGTCCTGGTTTAGTCCCGATGTTTTGCAGGACTCTTTAAACACGTTCCAGTTTGACATACACGTGCAAGTCGTGGTTTTCTCGCCTGAATCTCGTCTCCATCTGTTTTTAGTACCATCATTAATCTAAACCAGACCGAACCAGACCCCCCCTCCACCTCTGGACCAATCATTTCCATCCCCCTGAGGATCTGCCCGGCAACACACGCAGCCAATCACAACTCAGGAAACTGAAAATAATTACGACGATTAAGGAGATGGGAGATTTAAAGGTGAACAGTGCAGATATATTGTAAAAACAGCTCTTAGGGTCAAAATAAGTCCTTTGTGTGCCGTTATAAAAACTTTTATCCTTCGAGAACCAGGAAATGCGCTGTTAACATGCTAGTTGTTGTTAGTATCACCATGAAGGCAACATTAAGATCTGATGTTACTGTTCTTATAAACTTTTGAACATTGTGGTGAATAATTAGGAATAACTTTGGACCACTGAAACAGAAAACAGCTCAAAACACTCTGTTCCACCTTGTGATGTCATGTGGTAATACAGGAAGTGCTCCACGGTGCTTTTAATAAACGCCACACACCTTCACTAGAATCATTTGGATCAATTTCAGCCCTGGAATTGCCGATTTCTACTGAGGAAAAGGTAAAAAATAAAGGTAACTTGATGATTTCATGACATCAACAGGTGGAATAGAGCATTTTGAGGTTTGGAGATGTAAACAGAGTAATAATAAAGTTACTCAAAACACAACTCCAGGTCTGTTTTGACGACTTAAACCTCACAAGGACTTTTATATTTTGGCCTAGCAGTATTAGAGGTGAGTTATAGTAGTACTTAAAGCAGTATTCGTAGTAGTAGTACTCACGTTTCTGTAGACAAAGACCCTGAGTTTGAGTCCTCCCACAGTCTCCAGCTCCTGTCCGTGGTACAGGGACTTGGAGGACAGACGTTCCTTCAGGATGTGCTGAGACAAGATGGTCTTCAAGGCGGGAGTCAAGGTCACGCTGCCTGTTCAAACACAAGAAGAGTTCACATTATACACTCTGCTAAACCAGGTCTAAACCAGGTCTAAACCAGGTCTGAACCAGGTTATAACCAGGTCACAACTAGGGCTAAACCAGGTTATAACCAGGTCTAAACCAGGTCTGAACCAGATCACAACTAGGGCTAAACCAGGTCATAACATTCCTAAACCAATTCTAAACCAGGTCTTCTAAACAAGGTCTAAACCAGTTCTACACCAGGAATAAACCAGGTCTAAACAAGATCAAAACCAGGTCTAAACCAGGTCATAAGCAGGACTAAACCATATTTAAACCTTGTCTAAAACAAATCTTCTAAACAAGGTCTCAACCAGGTCTAAACCAGGTCTAAAACAGGTCTTCTAAACCAGGTCTAAATCAGGTCTTCTAAACCAGGTCTAAACCAGGTCACAACCAGGCCTAAACCAAGTCTAAAGCAGGTCTAAACCAGGTCTTCTAAACAAGGTTTAAACCAGCTCTACACCAGGAATAAACCAGGTCTAAACAAGACCTAAACCAGGTCTAAACCAAGTCTTCTAAACGAGGTCTAAACCAGATCATAACCAGGTCTAAAAAGAGGTCTTCTAAACCAGGTCTGAACCAGGTCTTCTAAACCAGGTCTAAACCAGGTCTAAACCAAGTCTAAATCAGGTCTTCTAAACAAGGTCTAAACCAGGTCTAAAACAAGTTTTCTAAATCAGGTCTAAACCAGGTCTAAACCAGGTCTAAAACAAGTTTTCTAAATCAGGTCTAAACCAGGTCACAACCAGGTCTAAAACAAGTGTTTTAAACCAGGTCATAACCAGGTCTAAATCAGGTATAAACAAGGTTACAACCCGGCCTAAACCAGGTCCAAATCAGATCTAAAGCAGGTCATAAACAGGTCTAAACTAGGTCTTTACTAGTTCTAAAACAGGTCTTCTAAACCAGGCCTAAACCAGGTCTAGCTGTCTCCTCACCTTTGAAGGCCTCGTCCAGGGGGATCATCAGCGTCAGGGCCTCTGTACCTGTCAGGTGTGTGCTAAGCCCCGCCTCCACAAACAGCTTTGTTGCCATGGCTACGTTGGAGCTTTCAGCAATTTCCAGAAGTGTCTTTGCTAAAAACAAATAAAAACATGAAATAAAAGTACATAAAGTTACACAATATTTCCATAACAAAACAATATTCATCAATAGACTAAAGAACCATTTACGTCAACTCAAAAAGAGGACCAAATCCAGACTGAACCAGGTCTGAGCCAGGCCTCGGTCCTCACCTGAGTCCGGGATGAGCAGTTCGTTGATGTAGTGGACCACGCCGTTGGTTCCGAGTTGGTCTTTTTTGGTGACGATGGCTTTACCGTTCAGAGTGACCTGATCCGCGTCGCAGCCCACCTCCAGAACTGTGCCCTGCAGCGTCTCCATGGGAACGCCCGACACGATGGACTCTGCACACTGCATGTTCTTCAAGATGTGGTAGTTCAACATGTCTGGAACACAGAAACAGGTCTGAAACTGGACTGAAACTGGTCTGAAACTGGTCTGCAATAGGGCTAGACCAGGACTAAGCAGAAGTAATGATGGACTTCGCACAGTGCATGTTCGTCAAGATGTGGTAGTTCAACAAGTCTGAAATACAGAAAAAGGTCTTAAACTGGACTGAAACTGGGGCTAAGTCAGGACTAAACTAGGACTAAAGTATGATTGAAGTACAACTAAACCAGGACTATTGGTGGACTCTGCACACCCAGGTGGTAGTTCAACAAGTCTGGAACTGGTCTGAAACAGGTCTGAAACAGGTCTGAAACTGGTCTGAAACAGGTCTGAAACAGGTCTGAAACAGGTCTGAAACAGGTCTGAAACTGGTCTGAAACTGGTCTGAAACTGGTCTGAAACTGGTCTGAAACAGGTCTGAAACTGGTCTGAAACAGGTCTGAAACAGGTCTGAAACAGGTCTGAAACAGGTCTGAAACAGGTCTGAAACTGGTCTGAAACTGGTCTGAAACAGGTCTGAAACTGGTCTGAAACAGGTCTGAAACAGGTCTGAAACTGGTCTGAAACTGGTCTGAAAGGTCTGAAACTGGTCTGAAACTGGTCTGAAACAGGTCTGAAACTGTCTGAAACTCTGAACTGTCTGAAACTGGTCTGAAACTGGTCTGAAAGGTCTGAAACAGGTCTGAAATTGGTCTGAAACAGGTCTGAAACTGGTCTAAAACTGGTCTGAAACAGTCTGAAACAGTCTGAAACAGGTCTGAAACTGGAAACTGGTCTGAAACAGGTCTGAAACTGGTCTGAAACAGGTCTGAAACTGTCTGAAACTGGTCTGAAACAGGTCTGAAACAGGTCTGAAACTGGTCTGAAACAGGTCTGAAACTGGTCTGAAACAGGTCTGAAACAGGTCTGAAACAGGTCTGAAACTGGTCTGAAACAGGTCTGAAACTGGTCTGAAACTGGTCTGAAACAGGTCTGAAACAGGTCTGAAACAGGTCTGAAACAGGTGAAACTGAAACTGGTCTGAAATAGTCTGAAACTGAAACTGGTCTGAAACTGGTCTGAAACTGGTCTGACTGAAACTGGTCTAAAATAGGGGTAGACCAGGTCTAAACTAGGACTAAACCAGGACAAACCAGGACGTGGTAGTCCAACCTGTCTGGAATACAGAAACTGGTTTGAAACTGATCTGAAATTGGTCTGAAACTGGTCTAAAATAGGGCTAGTAGTAGTAGTAACTTTAAAACTAGCAGCAGCAGCAGTAGTAGTAGTAGTAGTAGTAGTAGTAGTAGTTCAAAAAAAGTTGTAACAGTAGTAGTAGTAGAAGAAGTACAAGTACTAGTAGTAGGAGGATGTGGAGTAGTACTAATACTAAATAGTAGTAGTAGTAGTAGTAGTAGTAGTAGTAGTGGTAGTAGTAGAAGTACAAGTAGTAGTAGGAGGACGTGGTGGAGTAGTAGTAGTAGTAACTTAAAAAAGATTAGAAGTAGTACAAGAGGTACAAGTAATTGTAGTAGTAGTAGTAGTAGTAGTAGTAGTAGTAGTAGTTCAAAAAAAGTTGCAACAGTGGTAGTAGTAGAAGAAGTACAAGTACTAGTAATAGGAGGATGTGGAGTAGTAGTAGTAATGTCAAAAACAGTAGTAACAGTAGCAGTAGAAGAAGTACGAGTAGTAGTAGCAGTAGTAGTAGTTCAAAAAAAGTTGTAACAGTAGTAGTAGTAGAAGAAGTATGAGTAGTAGTAGTAGTTCAAAAAGAATAGTAACAATAGTAGTTGTGTAGAAGAAATACAAGTAGTACTATCATCAGGAGGAATTACTAAACAAGATTCATCAAACAAGAGCCAATGATTTACTACTAAGTGATACTTGTCTGCAACATGAACAGGTACCAAACCAAGACTAAACCAGAACTAAACCAGGACTAAACCAGGACTAAACCAGGACTAAACCAGGCCTCACCTCTCAGAGCGATGGGGTCTCCGAGGATGCGGTTGAGAGTTTCCGGTGGGATCTTCTCGAAGGCGTCGTTGGTCGGAGCAAAAATGGTGTAGTGTCCTCCAGACTCCAACATGGCCGTCAGCCCGGCGGCCGCGATCGCCGTCTGTCACAACAAAACAAACTCTCAAATGTGAACCAACCGAGAGGAGCAGGCAGAAGAAGAATTGGGGACCTGTCACGATAATTCCTAGATTTTATCGTTCAATATGTGATAGATGGAACAATCAATTTTGGGGTCAATTTTTTGTTATTTTTCAGTTCTGTGAAAAGATTTGGACTGTAGACGATAGAATAAATAACTTTTATGACTCATTGTAGATATAAACTAACTACTAAAGTGTTTTATTCTACTGTTTATTTATCACAGCTCTTGTTTTTAGAATAATCTTGGGGATAATCCTGCTTTAGGGTTACAGTGTCAGTACCGTAAAATACCAAATAATAACCAGTGTTGGGGAGTAACAGATTACATGTACCAGCGTTACGTAATCAGAGTACAAATTATGAGTAACTGTATTCGGTTACAGTTACTGTTTCAATGAGTGGTAATTGGATTACAGTTACTTTGTTGAAATAAATGGATTACATGGCAGTCTGTTCCTGTTTTCACATTTTGAGCTAAACCAGGACTAAAACCAGGACTAAACCAGGCCTAAACCAGGTCTAACTCAGGACTAAACCGGGACAAAACCAGTACTAAACTAAGACTAAAACCACGACCAAAACCAGGACTAAACCAGGCCTAAACCAGATCTAAAACAGGACTAAACAGGACTAAACTGGGAGTAAAACCAGGTCTAAACAATATGACACTAACAGTAGGTGGACATAATTTAAAGCAGCAGTGATCTCATATAAAAATCATTTCTCTATCAGTAATATTTTTCATAGGCTTAAGGAAAGACTGGACTTTTTATTTTCTTTTGGCACATAAAACATCTCATGTTAAGATTTTCTCGTCTTTGCTTCTCTACAGTCAAACAAAAGCCTCTTCATGGAGACTTGAACTCAACAGCCAATTTGAAGAGAACAAACATGAATTTTCTGGATGTGGTTGCTTCATTCATGTAGTTTTAAAAAGCATGACAATATGAAGTAATCCAAAGTATTCAGATTACATTACTCACTTTAAGTAATTTAATGAAATACGTTACAAACTACATTTTGGGGTATGTAATCTGTAATCTGTAGGGGAATACATTTTAAAAGTCACCTTCCCAACACTGATAATAACCAGGTGCAGGTGTATATTTTGATAAATAACCGTTCCAGATAAACGCCGAGTCTAATTAACTAGCCTGTTGGAGAAGTTTTCAGCTTGTCCAAGAAAGTAAAAGGCTGAAGACCAACTGGACGTCTTAAGCAGGAGAAGTTTATTTACCATCACCACTTGAAAATGTGAACATAGTCTGATTTCAAAAGTGAACATAGTGTGATCTTTGAGTGTTTAAGCCCCTCTAGTCTGTTTCCAAAGGAGGAGGTTTATAAAGCGAGTGTGGTGAGACTATTAAGGCCAATATGCACCGGTTAAACAGCAGCATGCAACAATTTAGATAATGGTATGACGATGGTGTGCCAAGAGAAGATCATAGTGTAAATATAAGCTTTTATGAGTCGATGTTAAACTGAGATGTACGTGGAAGATAAATGACTTCAGTTCTCTTACATAGCTGTATAGGCGAGTTTCATTGTTGACAAAAGCGCGCGTTGCATGCTGGGAATTATTTTGGTCGGCGGCAAGAAACACTAATTCAACATGACGGACGGAGTGAGAAAGCACGTAAAGGGTATTGATCCCGGTTATTTATCCACTCTAACGGCAGAGGACCCAAGACCATTTGACCAGAAATTGGTCATAAGCATCGACGGACGACAAATCACCCTTTTCAACCCCGACAAAAGGTGGAACAAACCAAATCTCTGGTCAGAATCGCCAACTACCTGGACAAATATTCATTTCGGCGATATCTACAATGACTTGGTGGAAACTCCTGGGCCTTTCACAGCAGAAAAGATGAAAACCTCCAAGAGTCTTGATGTGTTGTTGAACTTGTTGGAGTCCACGGTTTGTTAGGATCTTCTACGTTTGCTCTGCGAATGTTTGAAAGTCGTTTAATTCACCGCTAATTTTCTTTTCACTCAGAAGACGAAAAAGACATTTTCCTTCTTCCGTGCTTCTATTTGTGCGTCCGATAATGCAGCAGGAATTTACCATTATCAGGGATAAATACGTGAGGTTACACACTGTGGTTGACGCTATCGTGTTTCTTGCCGCCAACCAAAATATTTCCCAGCATGCAACGCGGGCTTTTAATAACAATGACGTCAGCTGAAACTCGCCTATAGAAAGTCGCCTATGCCGACACCCCCAGCAGTTGCTCTGGCTGCTGCTGAGGAGGCTGCTCAAACTCACTTTTTTTTGTGCTTTATTTAACCAAGATTTCAGTGATTAGTGCAGTGAGTCAGTCCTGTCTTCACCAAACTGGTTGTGTGACTCGGAATGAATAGGCTCTACTCTCACCTTCACTGAAAAAGTAGAGGACGATCAAAGCTCTGCAGGACCGTCTCAGGGACGTACAGACCTGGCTGAGCGCAAACTTCCTGAATCTAAATCATTAAAAAAAATGAGATTGTGGTGTTTGGGTAAACGAACCCATTGCTTGGGCAGGACAGTGTGACTGGTCCTCTGTCCTCCTACAGGCGAGTTTCAGCTGACGTCATTGTTATTAAAAGCCCGCGTTGCATGCTGGGAAATATTTTGGTTGGCGGCAAGAAACACGGTAGCGTCAAACACAGTGTGTAACCTCACGTATTTATCCCTGATAATGGTAAATTCCTGCTGCATTATCGGACGCACAAATAGAAGCACGGAAGAAGGAAAATGTCTTTTTCGTCTTCTGAGTGAAAAGAAAATTAGCGGTGAATTAAACGACTTTCAAACATTCGCAGAGCAAACGTAGAAGATCCTAACAAACCGTGGACTCCAACAAGTTCAACAACACATCAAGACTCTTGGAGGTTTTCATCTTTTCTGCTGTGAATGGCCCAGGAGTTTCCACCAAGTCATTGTGGATATCGCCGAAATGAATATTTGTCCAGGTAGTTGGCGATTCTGACCAGAAATTTGGTTTGGTCCACCTTTTGTCGGGGTTGAAAAGGGTGATTTGTCGTCCGTCGATGCTTATGACCAATTTCTGGTCAAATCATCTTTGGTCCTCTACTGTTAGAGTGGATAAATAACCAGGATCAATACACTTTACGTGCTTTCTCGCTCTGTCCTACATGCTGAATTAGTGTTTATTGCCACCGACCAAAATAATTCCCAGCATGCAACGCGGGAACGCAGTGAGGAATCTTTGAGTGATTGTGGACTCAGTGTTCAAACTGGACAAGCACATTAGCTCTGTGATTAAGTCCACCTTCTTTCAGTTCAGGCTCCTCTCTAAAGTAAAGCCCTACCTCCCACGGGCAGAGTTTGAAAGAGCTGTTCATGCTTTTGTAACATCACACCTGGACTATTGTAATTCTTCGTATGCAGGGTTGGACTAGGGCTCCCTGCAGCGCTGACAACACGTCCAGAACACTGCAGCTCGTCTACTCACAGATACTAAGAAATGTGAACACATCACACCTGTTCTGTGTGACCTGCACTGGCTCCCAGTGTTGTGAAAGTTACTTTTAAAATGTAATCCCCTACAAATTACAGATTACAGATTACAAACCCCAAAATGTAGTTTGTAACGTAATCCATTAAATTACTTAAAGTGATTAACGTAATCTGAATACTTTGGATTACTTGATTTCCTGTAGAGAAGCAAAGACGAGGAAATCTTCACAAAAGAAATTTTGTCTGCTAAAAGAAACTAAAAAGCCCAGACTTTACATAACCATATTAAAAATATTATGATAATATTATATTATTGATAGAAGAGGAGGAGACACGGACCATGCAGCATGATTTAGTCCTGTTAAATCCTGTTTGAGACCTGGTTTAGTCCTATTTTAGTCTATTTAGACCTGGGTTTAGTCCTGGTTTAGACCTGGTTTAGACCTGGTTTTAGACCTGGTTTTAGACCTGGTTTAGACCTGGTTTTAGACCTGGTTTAGACCTGGTTTAGACCTGGTTTAGACCTAGACCTGGTTTTAGACCTGGTTTAGACCTGGTTTTAGACCTGGTTTAGACCTGGTTTTAGACCTGGTTTAGACCTGGTTTTAGACCTGGTTTAGACCTGGTTTTAGACCTGGTTTTAGACCTGCTTTAGACCTGCTTTAGACCTGCTTTAGACCTGCTTTAGTCCTGGTTTAGTCCTGGTTTAGATCTGGTTATAGACCTGATTTTAGACCTGCTTTAGACCTGGTTTAGTTCTGGTTTAGACCTGGTTTAGACCTGTTTTAGTGTCCAGCAATGAGTGGAATTACCGGAAAAAAAAAAAAGAAAAAAAAAGGAATATAGCCTAAAATGTGAAAACAGGAAAAAAATACCGGCGTGTAATCCAATTATTTCAACAAAGTAACTGTAATCCAATTACCACTCACTGAAACAGTAACTGTAACTGAATACAGTTACTCATAATTTGTACTCTGATTATGTAACTCCGGCACATGTAATCTGTTACTCCCCAACACTGCTGGTTCCCTGTTTTATATCGGGTGCAATTTAAAATGTTATTAATTGTTGTTAAATGTTTGCACTCTATGGGTCCAGTCTATTTGAATGAATTACTGCAGCCCTGTCCTCCGCCCTGAGATCAGACGACCAGCTCCTGTTGGTCGAGCCCAAAACTAGACTCAAGACGAGAGGTGACGGAGTCTTTTCTGTTACAGACTGTGGAACAACCTTCCTCTTCCTGTCAGATCCTCTCAGTCTGTAACTCAGTTTAAGACGAGACTGAAAACTCACCTCTTCTCCCTGGCATTTAGTACGAGCTATCAGGTTATCTTGGTGTTTTTATTGTAGTTTTCAGTATTTATGTATTTGTAACTGTTTCTTCTATTTTGTTGACTGGTATGTGAAGCACTTTGGTCAGCTGAAGTTGTTTTAAATGTGCTGTATAAATAAACTTGAACTGAATTGAGGAAAAGATGACGTTGCTGTTTAATTGCGAAGTGACGTAAAAAAAAAAAAAAAAAAAAGAAAGATGGCACAACTTAGCGGGCAGAAAATGGGAGCAGTTTTTAGGAGTTTTGGTAAAATTACTTCAGTTTGGTAAATGGAAGGAAGCAGCAATGTCATCGTGGCTGCTGTGCCGTAAGAGGAAAGTTGCGGCAAAGGGGCGAGGCGGCGGGAATCGTGCCCACGAGGTCGGCAAAGTAGTCGTCAGGCCATCAGCGACACCTCCTCTGAGGCGTGGCGTAAAAACTAAATTATAGTCGTACTGGTTAAAAGATTTTGAGTTGCAAGATTTTTGTGAGGAAGGAATTAATCACCTTCCCCAAATTGCCGCCTGGTCTCAAATAAAAGCCTAGTGATGCCTCGACTATTATTTGGTATTTTATGGTATATCACACTTTAGAATTTCATATCCTGACAGACCTAGACAGGATCAGAGCCAGGAGTAGAATGGCATTTGAAGTATTTGAAGTATTTGAAGTATTAGACGTATATTGTTGATGTTTTTACCCTGAGCGTCTCCAGATCGTCGTCCACCTCGATGATCGTCTGGATGTCGTTGGAGACGGCGGTGATGACCCGGTCCACCACGTGCACGATGCCGTTTGTGGCGTGCTGGTCGGGTTTGATGAGGCGGGCGCAGTTCACCGTCACGATCTGAAGGGGGCGCACAAACACGGACAGGGTTTGAGTGTTTACGCTGTGACGTGTTCTGTTTTTTAGTCCTGACATAGTCCTGTTGTTTTACTCTTTAGTCCTGGTTTAGACCCTGGTTTCAGACATGGTTTAGTCTTGGTTTAGACCTCGTTGAGTCCTGGTTTAGTCTGGTGATAGTCTCCAGATCAAGTGTCTCTCAAAACAAAGAGTAGACGTGTTATTTATAATAATTTTAAAACATACTTTTTAAACTTCCCTTTTTTAGTTTTAGACATTTTATCGGAACTGCTTTTCCTTCTGCTTTTAATGGTGTTTGATTTCGGTTTCAGTTCTAGTTCTGTATTTAGTCCTGGTTGGGTCCTGGTTCAGTCCTGACTCAGTCTTGGTTTAGTTCTAGTTCAGTGCTAGAGGAGTCCAACTTCAGCACCGGTTCAGTCCTGGATTAGTCTTGGCTTACTCTTAAATCCTTGGCTAGTTGTAAATACTGCTTGTGACCTGGTTTAGTCTTCTCTCAGTCCTTGTCCTGGTTCAGTCCTGGTCCAGTCTCAGTTCTCATTCAGTATAGTCCTGGTTCAGTCCTGGCTCAGTCCTGTTTCAGTCTTTATCCAGTCCTGGTTCATTTCTCATCCAGTTCTTGTCTAGTCCTGGTTCAATCCTACTTGATTCTTGGTCCAGTTTTGGTTCAGTTCTAGTTCAGGCTTAGTCCAGTCCTGGTCCAGTCTTAATTCAGTCTTAGTCCAGTCCTGGTTCGGTCCTGGTTCAGTACTGTTCAGTCTTCATCCATTCCTGGTTCAGTTCTTATCCAGTTCTGGTCTAGTCTTGGTTCAATCCGGCTTGATTCTTGGTCCAGTTTTGGTTCAATTCTAGTTCAGTCTTAGTCCAGTCCTGGTTCAGTAGTGGCTCAGTCCTCATTAAGTCCTGGTTCAGTCCTGGTCCAGTCCTGGTTCAGTCTTAGTTCAGTTATGGTTCAGTTCTGGTTTAACTTGCTCCAGTCTTACTTCAGTCTTGCTCCAGTTCTGGCTCAGTTCTAGTCCAGCCTTAGTTCAGTCCTGGTCCAGTCTTTGTCCAGTTTTAGTCCAGTCTTAGTCAAATCTTAGTCCAGTTTTAGTCCAGTCATAATCAAGTCTTAGTCCAGTCCTGGTCCAGTCCTGGTTCTCTCTTCACCCCATTGGAGCAGTGCTGCACGTGCATGTTGAAGTCCTGGTTCAGTTTTGGTTCAGTCCTGGTCCAGTCTTAGTCTAACTGTAGTCAAGTCTTAATCCAGTTTTAGTCCAGTCTTGGCCCAGTCTTAGTTCAGTCCTGGTCTAGTCCTGATCCAGTCCCAGTTCTTTCCTCACCCCGTTAGAATATTGCTGCATGTCCACATGGAAGTCCTGGTTCAGTTATAGCTCAGTTTTGGTTCAGCCCTTGTCCAGTCTTAGTCCAGTCCCGGTCCAGTATTAGTCCAGTCTTAGTCCAGTTCCTAATTCAGTCCTAGTCCAGTCCCAGTTCTTTCCTCACCCTGTTAGAGTAGTGCTGCGTGTCAACATCGAAGTCCTGGAAGTCCTGGTTCAGTTATAGTTCAGTTTTGGTTCAACCCTGGTCCAGTCTTAGTCCAATCTTTGTCCAGTCGTAGTCAAGTCTTAGTCCAGTTCTGGTCCAGTCCCGGTTCTCTCCTCACCCCGTTGGAGTAGTGCTGCACGTGCACGTTGAAGTCCTGGTACATGGAGGTGAAGGTGGCTCCGTGCTTCAGTTCTTCTGAGGTCAGTCTCTTGTTCACCATGTGGTAGTGCAGAGCGTTCAGCAGCTCGATGTTCACGTTACTCACCAGAGCATCCAAGATCTCCTACAAACACACAAATAACAACACAAAACATCACCAGAGCGTCCAGGATCTCCTACAAATACACAAATAACAACAAATACACAAATAACAACCCAAAACATCACCAGAGCGTCCAAGATCTCCTACAAATACACAAATAACAACACAAAACATCACCAGAGCGTCCAAGATCTCCTACAAATACACAGAAAAACAACACAAAACATCACCAGAGCGTCCAAGATCTCCTACAAATACACAAATAACAACACAAAACATCACCAGGAGAGCGTCCAAGATCTCCTACAAATACACAGAAAAACAACACAAAACATCACCAGAGCGTCCAAGATCTCCTACAAATACACAGAAAAACAACACAAAACATCACCAGAGCGTCCAAGATCTCCTACAAATACACAGAAAAACAACACAAAACATCACCAGAGCGTCCAGGATCTCCTACAAATACACAGAAAAACAACACAAAACATCACCAGAGCGTCCAAGATCTCCTACAAATACACAAATAACAACACAAAACATCACCAGAGCGTCCAAGATCTCCTACAAATACACAAAACATCACCAGTACAAGATCACCTACAAAGATACATAAATAGTCCAGAAGTAGGTGGTGTAGTCGTCCCATAGACTGTATAAAGAAGTGGACTGACGGAGTGGGACATCACCAATAGTGTTCAGCTCCAGTCAAATGAAGCTCATTGAAGTTTGCAGTTACAGGAACGAATTTGGAGCCATATTAGGAATACAAACGGACAAAATAGTGGAGAAAAAAAACAACATGTAGAGTGGGTTAATATGAACATTTTGAGAACATAATGACGAGGTTCACAGCAGCAGTTACAGAGAGAGGGGTGATAATATTTTAATGTAAAGTCAACAGGCTTTAGTCTCGCTTACATCACAAACCAGAAAGACGTTTGGAAACATGTGATGACAACTTCCGGTGTAGTTCCCGACGCTGGACTCATTGACCGACTGTGATAAAACCCACTGAAGTAAATGTGATCAGCGGTAAAATGAAGACTGCAGACGTATGTGCTGTTTGGAATCATCTTGAATTTGGTGCCTCGTCTCTTCTAATCACATATACATAAAAATTCTTTTGATTCTCTAGATTATAACCCTGCATTTGGTTCCATATCTGGCCAAAATATTTGGGTCCAATTAACATTTAGAGGTTGCTCAAGACACATAGCACTATAGAGTCTATTCTATAACATAGCAAACCAAATAAATAAGGATTATTCAAATAATTTGTCATAGTCCATAGTCCATAAAAGTTGCATAGAAAGTCCATAAAGTCCATCAAAAATATCTTAGAAAGTCCAGCTCCACTGTGGTTTTGTTGGCGTCACTAAAGATGTACCTGTGCTCTTTGACACCTGCAGTAGATCCTGTTTCTGATCTTCATTCTTTGTTCGTACAGTTAAAATTTTGAACAAGCTTCACATCCTTTCAGCAACGTCACTGATAACTTTCCTGGATTTCACAGTTTTATCAGCCTTCTGAAAGTCTGCATCATCAGTCCAGTCTGCTGTTGGAGAATTGTTAAAAATGTGTTTGGCAGATCAAAAGCTTCGAAAAAACTAATTGTGCTGGTGGAAACAAAATCACTGATCTGCCTCTCTTCATAATCTGCTTGATTAAGGGCGTCACGTCGCTTTGGTGGAACCTCTGAAGCTTCCTCTTCCATGATATTGTGAACCATCAGCTTCATCTGCTCTTCTGTCACACTGGAGTTGAAGAATTCCAGGCCAAACATTTCTTCACTCAAGCACCAAAGATGTCGGCCAAAAGCTGTTCAGGCTGCTTTCTTGACAACTGAATTTTTATACTGTGACAGCTTCATGCAGAAACTTCATGCAACTTGAGGAACCTCTAAAACAGGGGTGTCAAACTCATTTTGGTCCGGGGGTCGTATCCAACCAACTTTGATCCAAAAGGGCTGAATCTGAAAACTCACGGCATATAAACCCTAAAATAACAATAAGTTCAAATATTTGTGCAGAGAAACACAAATCTATTACAGAAATCTTTTTTTTATTGATGAACTCTTTCTTTTACAAAATATTATAATATTATGAACAACCTGAAACTTTAAGAAACATGTAATTTCAACACAATGTTTTAACATTAACTTGTATGTAAATAGGAAAGTAAGTCAATTTTTCTTGTAAAATCCTGCACTCGGCTCCACTTTTCTCATGTTGGACATTTTTCTGATGAGGGTGTCACGGTCAACAGTCAAAACGATCGTCCTTTAAGAGCGTTTGGAAAGAGACAAGTCTTCATTTGTGCTGCTCTGGTGGGAGGGGCCACGTACAGAGACGCTGGAGACGCTGCTCTGATAAACACCACAGAAAATTAACAATATTTTAATAGAAAATATAATTTAAATATTTTAGTAGAAAATCAGCCGAGGGCCAGATTAAAGGTCTTGGAGGGCCGGATCTGGCCCCCGGGCCGTATGTTTGACACCTGTGCTCTAAAACATCTCCTTTTTCTTCAAATTTTCTTCCTAAATTGTCTTCTGGATTCTAAAACCTAATGCAAGGTTCTAATCGTGGTTGATGGATCACCCTAGTACCCAGTGCGCTTGGAGTTGTGCGTCAGTGGCAAAATAATAAAAACTGAGGTGTGGTTGTAATTGTTGATTAGACAAACATAACAACACTACAACGACATGGAGATAAAGAAAACTGGGACATTTTTCCTAGATTTTGTCAGACTTACTACCACAAACAGAGCCCGTCGGAAGTTGCCGTCGCATGTTTCCAAATACAGTCTATCAGTAGTATGAGTAGTTGTAGTAGTAGTGCTAATAGTAGTAGAAGGAGGTGGATTAGTAACATGAGAGCTGATGCAAACTGGTCACGGTAACATCCAAAAAACACCAAACATCAGAACATGGTCCAGCGTCTCCCGTACAGCAGGTCATATGTTCAAATATAAAGTCTCCTGCAGGATCCAGACTCCTGTGGTCCCTAATCTGTTGACACAGCAGTTCCCCGTTGCCTTTAGGCCTCCTCAGAATAGTATTAGTTTAACAGCTCATATTTCAGTCTTTGTAAAGTTAACGCTCCTGAACGTGCACTTTTAACACATTGTTTCCAAAATCATTCACCACTAAATTAACAACACGCAGGACACGGCCAAAAGCTCACACTACTGCAGAGAAACAAAACAAACACCGCCGCAGAGGCCAGGAGAGCCAATCAAAACAAACCAGACAATGACTGCAACAGGAGGAGGAAGAGGAGAAGGAGGACAAGGAGGTGGAGGACGAGGAGGAGGTGGAGGATGAGGAGCAAGAGGATTAGGACAAGGATGAGGAGGACGAGGAGAAGGAAGAGGAGCAGGACGAGCAGGAGGAGGTGGAGAGGGAGCAGGAGGAGGAGAAGGAGCAGGAGGAAGAGGAACAGGAGGAGCAGAGGAAGCACGAGGAGGTGGAGGATGAGCAGGAGGAGGACGGGGAGGAGCAGGAGGAGGACGAGGAGGAGCAGGAGAAGGACAAGAAGGAGGAGGACGAGGAGGAGCAGGAGGAGGAGGAGCAGAAGGAGGATGAGGAGGAGCAGGAGGAGGACGAGGAGGAGCAGGAGGAGGACGAGCAGGAGGAGGAGGAGGAGGAGCGAGGAGGAGCAGGAGGAGGATGAGGAGGAGCAGGAGGAGGAGGAGGAGAGGAGGAGCAGGAGGAGGACGAGGAGGAGCAGGAGGAGGAGGAGGCAGGAGGAGGAGGAGGAGGATGAGGAGGAGCAGGAGGAGGACGAGGAGGAGCAG